TGTGTGTGTGTGTGTGTGTGTGTGTGTGTGTGTGTGTGTGTGTGTGTGTGTGTACAGGAAGGAAAATTCATCAAAATTATGAATTTTAAGCAAAGATTGCAGCATATTTGTGGAAAGCAAATTTCAAATTGTTATATCACAAATACATTGTCTATTTACAACACAGTTGCTTGTGGACAAGCTACAGAACAAGATCTCTTCACAGAAGTTATTAGGCAAATAATTTTGAATAATCAATTTGAGATAATCCTGGTCTGTTCACAAAAATCTTATGAACAGGAATAGAAGAGAGATTCAGTGAGTATTCAGGAGCTGTCCACAGCAATAATTCCTTTGCTGCTCAGAATTGCTGCTTTGTTAACAAGTGCTGCAAAAGGGACCTGTAAAAAAAAAATCCAGCCAGGAAGCATTTTGGCAAAAGGCATTTTGACTTTGAGAAGTTCACTGTTTTTCTGTTAAGATTGTTAGTAATTCTTATGGTACCGAGAGTTTCACTGTAAGCTTGTATGTTGATTTGCTATGCAGATAAGAGATTCAAAGGCAAATTTAAAAATATGATAAGTTGCGTAATAAGAATTGAGTGGAGACTCTATTGTTCTCCACATTAACACACACAAAGCTCATGTTAAGCAACTAACTTTTTATTTTAACTTTACATCTACCTATCGCACGACACAGAGCCCACTCAGAGCTGCAACCGGCAGCTCTTTGTTCTGATCAGCATTCAGGGCCCCATATTCCTATGTGAAGAATGATCCTTTGAAATCCTTTTGTTTGAAACCCAGCACGGCGCAGCTCCTCTACACAGGAACTAAGGGATGGGGCTAGCTATGGCATTACAGATAGCGGCAGTTTTAAGCCAGAAGTGTCCTGGGTACTGAGGAACATTAACAATGGACTTGGCACCATCTGAATTTTGCTGCAAGTTTGATGCAGTTAACAGGAAAACGTTCCAAGAATTCTAACTGCATGTTATTTCTGATTTATAGTGATTTTTAGTTGTTGTACTGCAGGACTAATTGTTTCTATGAACATGGTGGTACAAAACTAATCTTTTGCAAAAGTCATTAAGATGATGATGGTTATATCATATCAGCCCATGAATGGTAATACTGCATAATATGAGCTAATAGGATATGGGTGAAAACTGATAATTACACAATTACAAGAGGTTCTTTGTGTCAGAAGGTTTTCTCCATGCACGGTACCAATTTTCACATGTTTGTAATTCTGTTAAAATAGATGTTAGGTATTTTCACCCGTTCTTATTTGTTGAAATCAAGTTTAAAAAAGATTACATTTGATTCAGACACAATAATTGCATATGACCAAATCCCCGGAGGCCTTAAGTAGGCAGATCTTACGTATTCACTGCAGGATTCAGCCATTGGAATTTGCTTCGACAAGCAGGACTTCGCTTGTGTGCAATATATTGCCCGCTGAAATCAGAGCAGGGTTTCAGGGGAAAGATGGTTATTAAAAGAGCTAGTAAAATGAACAAACTGATTAATGTTCAATCCTATTTAAAGTGGTCTCCGCAATATATAGGCACCGCTGGCCTCACTGTGAGTGGCAAGTGCTCGGTATCTTTGAAAATCAGGCCTCACATCCACGGGCAGGGCCGGCGCAACCCATTAGGCGACCTAGGCAGTCGCCTAGGGTGCTACAATTTGGGGGGCGGCAACCACAGCGGTATTTCAGCGATGGGACCTTCTGCCGCCTCTGTGAGGGGTGGCATTTCGGGGCGGGACCTTCCGCCGCCTAGGGCGGCAGAAAAGCTGGCGGCGCTCCTGTCCATGGGGCATGTAGGGCTATTCCGTTAACGTATTTCAATGTATTCTGTGCACTTGGATCAAGGCCGCTTATGTCTGTCTATTATTTAAAGGGCACTCAAAGGACCACTGAGGTCAATGGAATCTGGACTTCTGATCGGGCCCCAAGCCCAGGAGGGGGTTACCAGGGTTAAAGTTGTCATACAAGTGACCCTCCCATTAGCTGCCCTTCTCCCCCCAGTTTGCATGACACACAGCTAAGACAGACATCAGGCCTTTTCTCAGCCTCCTTATTCTTACCGTGGTAGAGATGGCAGCTAACAATTCTACCCTCTGTTGGATAATACAAGACAACTATACAAATAGAACTGCTTCATATTAGCTGTGTTTTATTTTGGTCACTCTTTTAATCTCCCTTTTGCTTTGTTCATTCTTTGAAGGATAATCCCCTCTTAGCAGAGGATTCCAGTCTGGGTGGCAGCAAACGCCTAAGCAAAAGTAATATTGACATTTCGGGAATCATGGAGGATGAGGAGCCAAGGCAACCGTTGCCAAGGAAACAGAGCGACTCATCCACTTATGACTGTGATACTATATCCCAACACCATGCTTTCCTGTCTAGGTAACTAGTCCTTCATTCAGTAAAAGCAATAGGATTGCAATTGAATGTGGAGTATTAATACAGCCAATGTGAGAGTAATGGCATCATTTATATAACCCATGTAATATGTTGCTGCAGACTTAGTTTAAGCCTTTGCAAGCTACTCCAGAAAAATGTAGACATTTAATTTTTGGAGGGTGGGGCATTGTTTTGGACCCACTCAGCTGTATTTTTTAATTCAACTTTTGTTGACTGGTGTGAATTTTGAACGCAGAAACTGAATGCAAAAAATCCCAGTTTTTATAATGCACCTCTCACAAGTCAAATCAAATGAAGACTTGGCATTTTTTTGGAATTTTTTTAATTGTTATTATTTAGCCCCATCTAACTTTCATTAGAGGCTTTGCATGATTCTCTAGAGAATTAGGAAATTGACTTTTGGTGCTCCCAGCTGTCTACAAACTATTCAAGCTTTTTTGAAAACCTCCATAAATCTTCAATTTAAATGAATAAAAAGTAATCTTTAAAGGAAGCTTACTTAGCTTCCCTAAATCCTAAAAAAGAAACCTTTTAACAATATATCTAGCAGGGGAGGTTCATCATTTCCTTTGTCTGTCTGTCTCTCTGTCTTTACCTACCTAGTTTGACTGCTTGCTCGAGTATCTGTATCCTTTGTGCTTTATTTTTTCTTTCTGTTTGTTCTTTCTTCCTTTGTTTCGTTGGGGGTGATGCCGATAGAGAGAAAAGCCCCATTGTGTGCTCCCAAGTTTCAGTTCTGTGAGAGCTCAGGTACAGTGCAGACTTGCCACAGTGCTGTACACCAGCCTGCCTGTTTTGTCAGTAATAGCTCAAGGTAATTTTATTCTATCTCTTTGGCTGCAGTCAATGCATTCTTTGCTTGGGTTCCTTGATTATTCTGTTTGGTTTTCACATCAATGTGCTGCTGCTCCTTTCTGGATGCCGTGTCCTTACATTTTAAAGTACCTTCCTGCTTCAACAAAACAATGTGTCTTTTTCCATTTGTCTGTGACAGAGAATTTGTCAAGAATTCTAGTCCATCACTTTTAGCTCCCTGTGTAGCAGCAAGAAACTCCCAGGCTATCTAATCTGAACTCTCCATTCAACCCATTGATAATAGAATCTGGCTCAACTGAACTAATTTATCAGGTTTTGGCGTCTGATCTCTCTTGCTTACAAATTGAAACATCAAAATATTGGCATTCTTCTTTTCCTAATACCTATAGAATATATTTGCATGTTAGCTGCAAAATAAATCTATTAAAGAAAATCCCCCCCCTCAAGTACATTATTTATGTTTTCACAAAAGAAAAAAAAGCCCATCTTTTTATTTAAAAAAAAACAGGATAAAAATAACAGTGTATGCCCGTGTTCTAATGACAAGCATTTGATCTTCAGTCTTTGTTCATCAAAAGCAGACAACGACATTCTACACCTAGAGATTTATTAGTTCAGAGAAATATGAAAGGGAACATAATAGAGCTTGAAATGTGAAGATAGAGAATCATTTGATTAGCATTAATAATGTTAAATGACCAAGTAGTTCTGAATGATCTTTTTGCTATAATTTTTGCCTAATCTGATTGATTTAAATAGTAGAACCCAGCTATATTTTAGCTTGGATGAAGAGGTGGGTATTGGCAGAAATGTAGTAAAGAGAAGGGTTCTTGTCAGAAACGTATTTCATACTCATGGGGAAAACAAGATAATACAAAAAGCAATACAACAGTCCTCCTTAAACCTTCCATGTTTCAGTTTCTAGGTATTTACAATTGTTTTAAACTGAAAACTATTAAACTTATAAGTACATTTTTGCCTATGCTTAAGCCCCCCCCCCCCCGAACATTTTACACCCCACTCAGATTTCTGACTCTTTAACCACCAGGTTTGCACAAATCTATTGCAAGGTAGCATGGAAATGCACAGATTGAGGATGAAAAATATTCTGAGACATTTTTTAAAAAATCAGTGTGTTCTCCCAGCATGTGCAGCAATTTAAAAAGTTTCAGTTTTCTACATATCAGTTCCATGTAGGATTATTAACAATTATTGTTGTTTTTTAATTTAGAGATGTTATCCCAGTTTGGATAATGAGATGACTGGGATACCTCCTAAGCATGGAAACTTTCTTGTTCTGTATACTTTGACATGTTTGCCTTGGCTACTTTGTGCTAGCTTCTCTTACCTTGTAGTGTAGCAATGACGCAACATGGGGCCAATAATGCAATCTAGGGATGGAGTGGTAACTTTGCACTGCCCAAACAGAAGATGAGTTTGACTCCTGGATTCATTCTATTCTGCATGACTGTAAACTCGGGGGCACTGTAGGGGTGCTAAACTCTGTCCCTAGTGGTTTGAGTTCAAAGTGTCTTATCTCGTCTCAATGAGAAGATCAGGTACAACATTGATGGGCCCAAGGCAGTACCATTAAGTTCTCAGGTTGGAAAAAAGGCCTGGTCTTTTACTCTGCGTGTAGGACTGTGAGCCAGGGACTCCTGACTTCTAATCCTGGCTGAACCTCTCATGTGCTGTGCGGTCTATGGTAAATAATCTGAGGCCAGATTTTCAAAAGTTGATAAGCACCCAGAACTTCATTGGCAGTCAGAATATCCTGCATCTCTTAAAATTAAACTCTCGATTTCTCTGGGCCTGGCACACCACCATTCTGATTTGGGAGCATTTTACACCAGCTGCACAGACGTGAATAGCGAAGTAAGATGCTTGTCAGTAGAGAATCCATGTTCTCTAAAAAAGGGGATAATGATACTTACCTGCCTCAACTGTTGGTGGTTTGAGGGTTAATGTAAAGTTTGTAAATCACTCAATGCAGATTAAAAGCTAGACTGCTGCTTATTATTAAGTAGATAGCTGCAAAGCGGGGGGTGAAAAGTCAGAGAAACTCTCATGGACATGAAGATCCTTGTAACACCCAAAACTCTCATGTACAATTACATTTTTGAGTCAGATTCTTACACAACTTGGGTCCATTACAATTTGCAGCAAACGCTTTTTCAGTGAATTCCTGTGTGTGGCTTTAATTATTATTTTTGGGGGGTGTGGGGGAGTAGTCCTGAGTCATGCAATGCCCACACAGCTGTCTTCTATGCCAAGTATTTTAACTGCAGGGAATTACTGATCTTTGACAGTAGCAAATTTACTATGTAGCTGCATCAGAAAATAAAATATTCCAGATGACTGTAACAGAAAGAATGGGAAGCCATTATGGTTAGGGTGTGGCTCTGCTGTATGAGTGTCTCATTATTAAAGCAGAATATCTGGACCTACAGACCGAAACTGGAGTTTTCTAAGCAGCCCCTTTTTGAAGTAGAGCCTTTGCCCAGCAAGATGGAAAGGGACCCCTGGTTTATTGTTAAGTCAATCCATTTTCCTTGTTCAGTATCCACGCGAGTGTTATGAAGAACGATGCAGACTTTCCTCCTATGAGCAGCTCCAGTCTCTCAGAAGTAAACCTGGGACGGTTTGAATTTGAAGTTTCAGATTTCTTCCTGTTTGGATCACCACTTGGTTTAGTACTGGCCATGAGGAGTACTGTTCTGTCTGGACTGGATGGTAAGTGCTTTTCAAGATTTGAATACTGGCTGCTTAATGGCCAGTATGGGCAAAGAGAGGTACACACTGTTCCATTAAGCAAAATTAGAGATGAGACAGCAGATGAATTCCTACCTGTAATGGACCAGCATGCTAAAGGTCCCGATTCAGCAGGGACATAAATGTAGGGTTGCCAATTTTGGTTGGACGTATTCCTGGAGGTTTCATCACATGACATAATTTTTAATTAAAGATTAATCTTTAATTCCTGGAGACTCCAGGACAATGCTGGAGGCTTGGCAACCTTATGTAAATGCCTTCTTAAGCAGTGACACTTGCACTGTTTTGGTATACAGTATTTGTACACAATGGTCCAAATCCTGCTCTACTATTTACCAATGTAAATTCAGAGTAATTTTAATGAACCCAGTGCAACTAAGCAGAATATGGCTTTAAAGTGTAACTTGCATAATTTTAGCTTTCCATGGGGAGCAAATTCAGCCCCTAAGATAAGTGGGCTCAAACTGATTGGGCCCAGAAGTATTGAGAAATGGTGCAAATACAAATTGTAGCCACCTTGCTTAATCTCCTCTCGATTTGCTTTTTGGACTGTACACACCTGTTTTTGTTTTCTTGGCAGGTAAGCTGTGCTCATTTTGTACATCAGTCATGACAAACTGGGGCATGTTAGGGTACTATACCATTTACACCTGTTTTCTGACCCATTCGCCCCTCATGTGCAACTCATACCACTGCTGGCTATGCATTTCAGTGTTGTACTGTTACAAGCATATACATAAATGTAATTGTAGGAACAGTCCCTGAAAAAGTGCCCCAGAAAATCACCTCAGAATTTGGCCCAGAGACTTCCATGTGATTTGTACCCCTTATTCCAGGTTGCATTTGGATGAGTCTGGGTCTTATTTGTGATAGTCACAAACCTCTTTTTCCCCTTTAGTGATGGCCTAATACCCAGTGAAGTAAAAAATAATAATTTTTTTTTAATACACACCTGGATATTTACACTATTTCTGGTGACTCACCCCATTCTCCGGAGACAAGTTGTATCCTTTGAATTTTCACGCTGTGTCAGGTTCTGTTAGCATAACACCTGTAGGCTGCAATGTGCGAAATAATGTGTCCGAGCTCTGTGGCAGGTGACAAATGTGAGAACATGCAGAAACATGTGGTAGATGAATGTATAGCTAGATGGTCTTCAGGGTTAATTTCTGGTTTTGTTTAAACCTACGACAGATGACTGTGATAAACATAAGAAGCTCCTACTGACTGTCCATTACAGCTGCTCGAAAAGTTTCCAATGAAAATTTTTGCCATTTAAAAAAAAAAAAAGTAGTTTCATCCAAAGTGAAACGTTTTGCAGTAATGTGCAATTTTAAATGAAAATTTCATTGGGAAGGTTTCTCAGGTGAAAGATGGAATTTAGAGGGAGAGAGAGAGAGAGAGCATGTGCTACATTCCAGGTCAGTGCCTTGACTATCCGACTACTGGCTACTCTGGGGTGGGCCTCGCCCTCTCTTTCTCTTTTTGTGTTTTTTTTTTCACAACAGTTTTCTAAAGGTCTTGGTTTTGTTCTTCATCGGAATGAAAACAAATTTCAAAACCTGAATGTTTCATGAAATGGAGTTGTTTTCTGGCCACCCTTACTATCTATCTACCTACCTACCTACTTGTTGCCAGTAGCAAAATATAGAAACCACAAAGATCTTTCTATTGCCACTTGCGTGTTTACTACCAATATGATATTTGTACTTTCAAATCTCCTACAATACCCCAGTTTTTATTGGTTTTAAGGCCCAATCCAGCAATGTACTTAAGATGCTGCTTAACTTAACTTAACGTGAAGCACATGAGTCGTTCTATTGTCTTCAGTGGGGCTACGCCGGGTACTTAGATGCTTTTCTGGATCAGGGCCATAGTCTTCTAATCTCTCTTGCTTTCAGTCCTTCTCTCCTCACTATCCGAGTACAATGCTGGAACAGTGCAACTGTCATCGCTTCAGGCACTCTGGAATACTGAACAGCAACATGCTGCTAAATTAACAGACAGTATTTTGAATTATTACAAATTATTTCTCCCAATTAGCTCTCACTTCCGTCCTCCCTCAAATATCCTGCAAGGAGCTGCTTTTGAGAGCAACCTTTCTGACCAGTATTTCAAAGACATTTTGAGCACGAGCAGAGTCTACGTGCAACGTGAAGTGTTGTCAGTCCTCAGAGGGAGGTTCTTTTTAGGAGAATTCCATGGGGGGGGGGGAGTTGAATCGTGCTGCCAAAAGGAAAATGTGTGACCAGAAGGCTCCTGTCATGCATATGGCTGAAGTTAGTAAAGTGGTGGAGTCAGAGTCACTTTTCATTGAGATAAGAGGTAGAGAGCAGAAAACATGAGAAATATAAGGCTAGACGTCCTGTCGTTTTTGATTTAAAGTTTTATTTTGTGTTTTTACTAATTACTAAAATGAAATATTTTATGAGTTCGTGGGCAAAGGAAAATTTGCCCAATGGATTGTGTATTTCCTGCTGCAGAATGGGACCGCATGGCGTAGTGGGATGCTGTATAATGTATACACACAATATATATATAACATCTGTCATGTGCTCAGGCATCCTAGCTTTGAATGTTGATTTTTCTTCTGTGGTAGTAGGAATCTAGCTAAAAAGTGAACTTTGGTTCCAATTTTTGCTATCCTTTAAAGGGGTCTTCTATTTTCCCTCTCTCCCCCACATTCAACATTCCCCTGACACTCCATAGCAATTTTTAATGTCCTCTCCTGCAGTTAGTTCTTTCTTTGCTCTTCCAATTGTCTAGTCACAGTTCTCATCCTCTAAATCACAAATCATTTACAGTTCAATTTCATACTCTTCCACCTTCTATATTCCTCATTCAGGGTTTTCTAGTCCATCAAAGCTTTCCCAAAGTTTGATATTCTCTAGCACTCACACTCTTCTCAGCATGCAGACCGTGGCCTCAGAGCTTTATGGGTAACTTTTTTCATCTAAAGCTGACCAATTACTTTAGCTAGTTGCCTCATTAAGTATTTGGAACTCAATCCATCGAACTGCTGAAATGGATACATCTCATGGTCTTCCCAAAATAATGTCAGTGACCAGAAACTCTGTAGGGACTAGCAAAGTTTTCTACTGGATCCTCTGCTTGGAGCACTACAGACAATCTCTTAAGGACAGTGAAAGCTTTGCACCGAGTTTTAGCTTGTCATGCTTTCAAAATGTTCAAAGAACTGCAATTTTTTTTAAAAAGACCCAAAAATGGCAATTATAGAAACACGGCAGCCATTTTGTAAGCATTAATTAATCCTTACAATCCAGTTATGCTCCCTCAAACATTCACACAGGGAGCATAAAAAATGGACAGAGGAAACCGAATCGGAACATATCAGATAAGGTTACACATTCAGTTACACTTTAGTAATATAGGCAAATGATATGCAATGAATAATACATAAAACATCGGATAGGCTAATGAGTAGCCCATATTCAGGTACTAATGGGAAGGGGGAAAGAGTGTCTTTAGCAAACACTCTGATTATCTCCTCCCACTCCCAGAGGATAAGATCCCAGAGTACAGGATCTGCATCTCCATGACATACAACTCAGGAGAATAGGGTTTTTTAACTCCAGATGAACTAGAGAGGTCAGTAAAAGAAAGGGGTGAACTTAAAGCCTACACTGTATTTTAGAAATTTATCAATGAATCCATGAGCTACTTACTACTCCTTGCACCCAACACATTCACTCTTGGAGATGCCTGATTGGGGCAAATTTTTCAGTATTGGCCATTGTTGTTGCCTGCTGGCTTCTGCCCATGCAATGGATTCACCTATAAAGTAGATGCTTACCCATTTCTATGAATTCCAAATGCAGAGGCCGCCGTACGGTGGTGACCACCTACCTGACTTGCATGCACAAGCCATAGGCCGAATAGGTGCCTACTTTTTAGGGCTGCAGTCAACTGCACCTGTCTAAACAGAGGCTAACTGAAAAGATGATGCTTTGATAGCTTATTTGAGGTCACATGTGGTTTGGCTGTTTAATTCAGGTTAGTCTGACTGAACAGAAATCTGGTTTAAGTTGAATGTGGTCCAACTTAGGAAGTATAGTTGATAGGTGCTTGGTGCAGTTTAGACATCGTTTCAGAACTTGGGCCCCAGCTCTGGGAGGTAAATGCCTAGCAACGGACATGCTTTTGCTTAGACACCTTCGTGAATGGAAACCTTCATGAGTGATTATTTTTAACAGCCTGTTCTTGATAAGAACACTTAAACGTTTATTTTCTCATTACCCGGAGAACTGATGAGGAGGCTACCGAGTATGTCTGAACATTCTGCCCTGCTGTTCCCGGCACAGCATCCTGCCTGTATAAAGTGAATAATACCGTAAGCTATTGCTACGGTCTGCCATCATATTGATTGTCCATGGGGATTCTTTAAGGGTCAGATCATGGTGCCATTGTCTTGACTGGTACCATCATTTGGCCCTAAATGCCAATTAGACTTGCAGCTTATATGGCATGGATTTTCAAAGCCCATATAGCAGCAGGGGGGCTTACAAAGCCTGTCAAGCTTCAGTGTTTTCCAATTTAACTCTTTCATTCCCCTCCCAAAGAGCACGTGTGGCTGAGGAATGTGTGGTGCCTGAGCCGAAGTGCATCACATTTTATCCAGCGGCTGGCTGAACACGTCGGCTGTCACCATAGGAAACTTTTGAGAATGATAGTGAGCCTATGTGTTGTTTTTATTTCCTTCTCTAATTTGAGCCTGTTGTCTTAGGAGTGCTCTCCTCAGGACAAGCTCCATCAGAAAACCCTGCAACACAGAGTAATTGAGTGTAAGCAGATTCCTTCAGAGTAGTTCTCAAGTTAACAATCAGTCTGGCATATGGGTTTCCCCCTCCGGGTAAAAGCAGCCTAAGGCCTATTTCTGCAACATGGGGCCGGATTCTCAACCCTAATTCCATTCTCTTTCTGGAAGATGTGTCCCAGACTGTGGGGTGAGGGAAGATACACAAACAATATTCTTCTGTAAGATGGAGTCACAGTTCAAAGATGGTTGAGAACCACTGCCCTATTTCATTGGGAATCCTTTCAGAAGGAAGTGGGAAATGTGGGAATCTTTCATCTTGACTGTTAAAACTGATACGAGATGAGGTAAGGATGGTCTAGTGATAAGGATGCTAGCCTGGGATTTGGGGACCTGTGTTTAAGTACCTGCTCCACTACAGACTCCTTGTTTGACCTAGAGAAAGTCACTGCGGGAGTTAAGGGCCTGAATACCTTTGAGGATCTGGGCCTTTGCCTCTATGCTTCAGTTCCCCATCTATCAAATGGAGATAATGGCACTTCCCTACCTCCCAGGTGGGTTGTGACAATAAATACATTAAAGATGATGGGGTGATGGAGTGCCCCCAAAACAATTTGCTTCCTCCCTGCCCCCCGTGGTGTTTACACCACCAGCACTTGGATGATGTTCAAGAATAATGTTGCACAAACAAGTGAGCCTTAAAGAAAAGCACCATGCGTGTTATCAGTTTGATAGGCTCAGTGCAAGAGAACCGTAATAAACTGTAACAGAAAAGAGTTTAGATATTATTCTATTGCACAGCAGTTTGGAAAACATTAAGGGACTGATCCTGCTCATCTGGAGTTCAGTGGGAGCCTGCATAATATTCCCAAACATCTGTTATAAGTACTTTAATCCGTTCTTTACTCCTACAGTTAATGAATTGACTGTTGTAACATATTTGTGCTGCTGTAATATACTAAGTCTATTAGCGTAATTAGCCCATAATGGATTGATCTGCTAATGCTGGAGAGGTTCACAGTGATCCAAATGCAGTTTGGTTAGATGGGAAGTGACTACACCTGCTGGTTTACAGACCCCCGCAGCCGTCTATGATCACTCATTTGAGTACAGGAGATGTCTCTATCTCAGTGCTGAACATCCAATTGAAAGGGTGCCTCATTAGCTGAGCGAGCAGGTGATTTTCGAACATCCATTTACAATTGCTGTCTGAATTTCTCAGTAGCTGCCTCTCTCCGGCAAATATTACAAGCCACGCTCTCCTGTTTTAATGTGTGCAGTTTCATTTTATGCATTAACTTCAAGAAATTGACTTCTGAAGCTGCCTTGCTTCACATACCCACTCCAGCTTTCATCTCCATTTCAATCCTCCCGATTTAATGTGCCCATCAAATAGTTTTGCCTTCAAATATTCCAAGCAGAGGATGCCGCATGCTTTTGTAGGTGCAATGTTCGATAATATATTTAGAAGGTTTTAAAACTTTATTGACTTTCTGGCTTCCATTGATTTCAAAGGCTGGCCTTAGCCTCAGCAGGTTGCCTATTTCTCAGACTGTGATCCCTTTGCAAAATTACCTTTCAGCAAAGCTCATTTCATTGCCAAAGGAGTATGAAACAATTTAGTTGAAGAATCTCCTGCCTTTTGACTATATATGTAGTTTGCGCTATTGTTTGTTTGTAGAATTGAAGGGACTGTATATTTAATCACACCCGCACCTAGACCTCTCGAAAGATATGTGAGCAACCCATAAAGATGCAATGCTGATTTCTCTCTCTCTCTCTCTCGTTCCAGTGTGCCAGGTCCGACCAGCTTGCAGCCAAGTGTACAGTTTCTTTCACTCTGCTGATCCCTCTGCCTCCAGGCTTGAGCCATTGTTGGAGAAAAAATTCCACCTCTTGCCTCCATTTAATGTCCCAAGGTACCAGAGATTTCCACTGGGAGATGGAAGATCACACCAGTTAGGTATGATAAAGATTTCATATTGTATTGCTTGGATTTCACTGCTCCTACCCCATTAGTCTCTTGAGCTCTTCAGCTATTCTGTTCAAGAGGATTTTAGATACAGATACAACCAGCATACTGATAGTCAGATAACTTTAGGGCAGGAGGGGTATTGCTTTACTCAGTAGTTATAAGCCCAAAGGGATGCAATGAAAGACATAGGGTTCCTAAAGGTATGCTTTTCTGCTCTCTCTGTGCCACTTCACAGCCCCCTCTTTCATGTACTCTTACTGCAACTTAGGTGTCTGTCTACTTCAGGATTTTTTAGTGTGGAAAG